AATATAATCAGGACAACAAGACAAGAATAGATGGTGCGGTAACAAAATGTAAATAAATAAAAAGGCAGCTAATGAAATAAATGCAAAAGACTAAAAGAATCCAAACATTTATGATAATGCCAGTAAAGGCATTATGTTACTGATGCAAAGAGGCGAACTGTTTGAGAGCCTGGAGTCACAGCATATAAGTGCTTTCTTGAAAACAGAAAAATGGGTGTTCTTGGTATCATGTACTTACTCTGACAGTAACTTGGTGGTCACTATTCTTAGCCAGCTCTATCAAGTTGAAGCCATTGTACAGCAGGTTTTCTATGCAGCCATGAAGGTCCTTACTGGAGGCACCTGGCTTCTGCGATCGAAGGCTATGGACAGCTCCTAAACTCAACTATGTAGAGATCACAATGAAAAAAATATTGTATATTTTCTGTGCACATTTATATAAACATGCCACTGGTCAGTTTTATATCAGTGTGTTTTAGCACACCTGTTCGATGGCCCAGCGACTGAACTCTGCCGGGAGCTGCACTCTCTCCGTGTTTTTGTCCACAGTCAGGTTGAGGTGAGCACTTTTTTGCTCCAGTACTACATGGTGCCAATGCTGATCATCCAACAGGCTGCCAAGGGAGGTGAGATGCAGTGGTTCAGGGGAAGTCTTACCTGAAAAAGAAAGCGGGAGAAAGAAAAGATGGGTGAATAAAGAATAACAAGAGAAATGGTGAAGAATGCAAAAGGAAAGACAAAAGAAGAAAGTGTTGGAAAAATACATTTAGGATAAAAAGGAGAAGGAATGGGGCAAAGGGAGAAGTGGATACAGAAGGTGAAGAAGGTAAAAATCAGCTAGAGGTAGAAGAGAGGTGGGGTTGGTCATGGAAGAAAAACAAAGAAGACTGATGGATGGCAGGGAAAGAATAAGAGGTGGTGGAGGATAAAGCAGGCAGAGACAAATAGATCGTTATTGAAAACTACTCAGAGTGAAACTGAAATTACAAAGACAGACTTTGTTTTTTAATCCACACACCAAAACTGTTTTATTTGTAAGAAACAAGAAAAAAAAGAAACACTGTACATCAAATTGGTCACTATGAAATGGAAAAGAAGTGAAGCGCTCATCAAATGATTTCACTTATGGCGACTTTTGTTATATGACCTGTTAGCTTGCATGGTTGTCGATATCTGACCCACTATTCTGGGGAACAACAACAATCAGACTTTACACTGCATCTAAATATTTCATTTTTCTCTGAATCCCACAGCGAGGATCACTGAGAGGTCACCCTTGGTCATTAGCAACAACTAGATATAACTGCACGCTAACACTGAAAAACAAAGCCAAATATGTCCTAATGCCTAATCTGGGGGGGAAAAACTGGAGAAGACACATGGCAAGACACCATTAAAGATAGATGAGCACCAGCCGGTCCTAATAAGTGGATCCATCTCTATTCCCCCCCTAGGGATGTGAAAGAAACTGTGTTTCTGCTTACAGGGGGAACTGGAGAGAGCAGAATACTGTCAGTCATTAAAAATGTATTAGATATTCTTAAGGGAAAAGCAATTTCAACTTCAGAGAAAGAAACAGACCACTTGGAAGCTGATGGACAAATATCTTTGATATTTCACTTCGGTCTGTGAGAATATATACAACCTAGTGAGAAATCAAAGGAAAACCCTGAACTGTTCATGCTTACAGGTAGAGATCATGCACGAGTTGTTTGGATCAACTCATCTTAAGGTGCCTACGCTCACCTTTCCCTTCAGTCAGTTTATTGTCCTTGTAATTGTTTGTCTGGTCCTCTTCAGCTTTACCTCTGCTGAATCTGTCTCGCCTAAATACAACTAGCCAGATTTGTGAGTTTGTAATAAAACAAGTATTCCAGCAGTTCCCAGTATCTCCTTGTGTTTTTCCTAATGTTCTTACCAATGTCCTAATTTATGGTGTGGGTTTAACCCCTTGTTGGAAGTGTTTTCTTCCTCTGGCTGCTTTTAAATGTAACTCCTACCTGGATTAAAGGATTTGGATTTCTAAACTTACTCTACTTCCTGGTGCCCTAGATTTACACCCTTTCCTCTGTTTGTTACACAATTAATACAAGGCTTAAAAGACTCTCTGACTTAGGTCTAATGAAACTGTACAACATCAGGTGTTACAAATGAATACTGTCTCCTAACACGTCAGTCATGGGCTATGATGCACAGCTGGAATTCCTCCACCTTTTGCTGCCACGCGTCTTCTATTGCCACATTTTCTTCTTGTTGGTGTCCCAAACATTTAGATCATCACATTTTACTGACTGCTGTCTGCTTGAGATAAGTTACTGTTCTGTTGTTGTCGTTTTTTCTAACTAGCGCTGTAGTTACACTAACCACTACATTATTTCAAGCTTGCATTTCTGTTTGTTGGTTGGTAGAGTTGAATAGGTGGTCATCCTGAATTTGGAACATTTTTTTCTAGGCTACCTTTAGCCTTTAGCCTTCTGCTTAGGAACAACATTTTGGAGCCACTACAAAAGAAAGATATTGCTGTGATTTGATGATTATGGTGCTTGTCTGGGACAGTCTATGTATACCCAGCTTTAGAGAGTCACTTTAAATCAGCACAAAGCTCTTGATATAAGTGGTCTGCACAACATCCCATATGACAATCGACAGGGAGCAAGAGGTCACTGTAAAAAGTATGAATATGGTTTCATATCTCTGCCCTTCACAGTAATCAGCTATTGGGAGGATTAAATGATATGCTAGACCATGCTCTCATTTGCCATCATTGAAAAACCAAATGAAGGAAAAATGAATATCTTTTCAAAGAATTACATTTCTATCCTTCAGCAAAGTTATCAAAGAATCAATGTCAACTCAGACGATGTTAAAGAATGACTCTGCCACATGCATATATTGCAGCTCTGGTTAAATACCGAAAGCTGGAAGGCCAGCTTTTCAGGTTATTTAAAATACATTTAGCAAAAGATGACAAGTCCTCCTCCTCAGTGTCTTTTCAAACTCAGACAGCTAGTTGATTCAAACCCAGACCCTTTGTGCTTCGAGGGAACTTCGCGTACTACTGCACCACCTTTCCACTCTAGCATGTGGGAACAATAAGTTCCAGAGGTTGCTACAAATACATGCAACACGCTTTTCTTTTTTCCAAAACTTCAATCTGATATAACTAAATGAAATGCCAATCAAATATTCTATAACTTTCACCTTTCACCAAATCTTGGACCAGATTAGAACTAATTTTAACCTCGAAAGGCCTTAAACCCTTAAGCTCTAATTAACAGAAAATTCTTTACTTGGATAAACACGAATTGTTGCAGTTTGGTACAATTCAAGAATAGTAATAGCACAAATTTGAGTGACCAGAAAAACAATGTTCTTGGATAGCTCGTGCTTGGAAGGAAGAAACATTAAAACTCTTCTGATGTTAACACCTTACTGAGCTTTGAGCTTTCTTTTGTTTTTTAACTTGAGTTTGTCACGTTTTCATATTCTTACATCAGGTGGAGTGAAGAAAAACAATTTTATTATTTTATCAGAGAAAATTAAACTAATGATACAGAGGAAGTCTCTCCTGTCAACACAGTTATTGTGATGACTTATTTGATTAGAGTCTGGATGAACAGAAAGAGACACTGCAATCAATACGAGAGGAAAGATGAGAATCTCTTTATGGGCTTTGATTAATGGAAAAATTACTGTGTTGTAGGAGGTAGAGAAGAGGGCCTTACTGGATGGATGTTTCATTAGATGGATGATTTGATTACTGCATGAATGATGGGAAAGAGAAAGCAGGAATCAATATCAGAGATCAGAGGCCAAAACAGAAAATTGCTTTACTAATATTAATAAATAGAGCCATCTCTTTCCATCTCTTCATCAATCTTTCCTCGTGTGTTTTCTGTCTTTCGTATTCTCCAATCGTTTTTGGCTGTGAAATCATCGCCTCTGAGGGAGGAAACTTTTCCAGTTTTGAGGACCTAGTGTTACAAAATTTGAGACTGTCTCAGCTTTTTTGTCATCACAGTCCTCTGTTAGACATAGCTGTTAATTAAAAGAGTAGTTTGTGTTATTTAATCAGCAATGCAGTCAGTTTAACTCAGTATGTTAGATATAAATGATATAATTATGCTGAGCCGTAGAAGAGCTGCAATCAAAAGGTTCCAACAAACATGACAATGAAAAGGAAAACTTGCAAATATTTACAACCTTCCCTTCAAGGTCATCTTCATGTGCACCTCTTCACTACTGTCACTGTGCCTGATATCTTTTAGGTCACTCTGGAAGTCCCACTATAACCAGTTGTGTTGTGGTCCTGAGTCTTTGACTCAGCATTTTATGTTTTTGAGTTGCGTTTGTCGTTGTTTAAGCTTGTAGCTGCTTACTGTTCAGTTGTCGCTTTTGTGTATTTTTTTTTAATTTATCCTCCGTTACAGGCATTTTTGTAAGTGCCTCCCCACGTTTTGTCAAGTCTCTGTCTGTTATGTTTCCCTGTTAAGTTATTTCTTGTTTTATTTGGGTAACATTTGTCTTGTGTGTTCTATGTTCAGCTTTACTTCGCTTGTCTCATTATCCCTGAGTTACACCTGCCATATTTCCCACCTGTTTTTTTCCTTAGCCTCATTATCATTTGTCCCTTTGTCCTGTCTCATATCTTCCCAACCTTTGGGATTATTTATCCCAGAAATGTGTTTCTTTGCATTTCTGTAAAAAGTCGAGCAATAAGCTGCATTTGGGTCCACTCCCTGCCTACCACACAGCTGAACCTTGACTACTTGAACTTGTGCATCTTTGGATGAAGTGGATGCAGTGGATGAAAACTCCAGCCTACTCATTTAGTTAGGTAAAAAGATGAAGTCAGAGCCACGATGGCATGTGCTATCATGGAGGTCAGTTGTGCTGAATGTTGTCAAATGCCTTACTGTAGAACCTTATGTTGACAGCATGACACTGGGGGACAATTTCAATGTGTACAATCTTGTGAATGTCACAAAAAATGACAAACATGCTCCAGGTTATCTCCCCCAACTGATGTGTGGCTTTGGGCTTGGACACTGTGCACTTTTCCTCTGACAATTTCTGGTTGCTGACAGGGTTGTAGCCAAAGCCCCGGCTCTCATTACCAGTGATGATACTTATTAAGGTGACTTCTGAGTCAGTTTGACATATAAGCTGATATTTGCTCTCAACAGGTTTGAATTCTGCATTCATATTGTAGCACAGTGGTGCAGTGGACTGCTGCCTCACATATTCATATTCAAAAGTCCTGATCGGTTGGGGCTGAATTAGAATCTTGTCCAGGCTTTCCATGGTGTAACCTGCCTTTCACTAAATGTTACTCAGCCTCCTTGCAACCTTGGGATAGATAAACAGTTCAGATACACAGATACAAGTAGTCAAAATGGGACTAGGCCAAAAAACAGCAGTCCAAAGATGAACATGTAGAGCTTGGCCAACTACCAGTCAGTATGTTTTTATTTTTTAAATTATTAAGTACCCAGTCATACAAGTCTTTGATCCTATTGATTGAAACCTGATACCAAACGTAATGATTGTATGTTTATTATTATTTATAGTTTATTTTGCCATTCTTCAGGTTAATGGAAAACATGAGTATTTGAATTGTATTTAATACCATTCATTATTCATTATGCCAGTGTTTC